GCAAAACAGGAAAAAAAGGCAGAACGGAAAATATGAGCCGCCGTGGTTTGGCGAACGTGCGAGTCTGAAGAGAGATTTTGTAAAACTTTAATTTATTAACTTCAACTATATTTTACTAGCCTTAAACAATAATTTCAACTATTTGTAGCTATAATTGTGCAGCTATAACCAGTGGCGTAGCCAAACCTTACTTTTGCAGGGAGTGGGGGACGAACCGTGAGACCGTCTAGGAGGGTCCTGGCTCCGGAAAATTTTGAAATCTAGGGTCCCTGAATTGCGATTTCGTGCATTTTGGGGGCGAAATCTAGCAGAATTCCGAACATCGAAGTACATCGAAGACATGAATTTTTCCAGACATTTCTACTCGGAATTAAATAAATTGGAAAAGTCACCTTGAAAAATAGGAGGAGGGGTCAGTGTCACCTTATTTCCTCTCTGTGATGCTGGGGGGGGGGGGAATCCCAATGTGCTTTTGATCAGAAATGTTGCATTTAAATCATTTTAGGTTCTATGAGACACCATTTCCGCATTCTCAAAATTGCGTTGCTTTTTCATACGATACAGAATAAATCTGAGAAGAAATATTCATGCTATGATGATGCATACATGTATTTAACAGTTAAAAATCTAAACTAAATTTATTCTTCTTGGAACCATATCTACAACTGCTTTAACGAGATTTCACAAATCAAGTTCCTCCAGTATATCGTCTTTTTCCTCAGTCGAAACGTACTTAATTAGTTTCAGCTTCGAGCATGTAACGTGTACCCCCTCCCCAAATGGTCGCAAGGCTTGGAAAAGCTAGCATTTTATCGGATTGTTTGCATGAAATCTATCGCTATTATGAAATACTCGATGAAGAACAATATGAATTACACACAAGATGGCTGTGGAGGAGGCTACGGAAGGGCATAATCTCATTATCAAGTAAATCAACTGCAATTCTGACAGAAATCATGAGAAATTTTGCTTCGCACTTCGGGGGCAGAAATGGCTTCGCTGGGGGGGGGGGCAAATTCTTTCCCAGGGGGCAATTGCCCCCCCCCCCCCAGATATATAGTTAAAAAAGGCACTGATAAATCGATGACTTGCTTAGTTGCTTTCTGTTTTGAGCTTAACCACCGTTCAAGCTAAACGGGCTTAATACAACTGGCCCCAGACTCGGCCATTTTGATAAACATTTTTGTATTATCGAGATCGAAACTATAGTAAATTGGAAACCGTGTCAATAATAAAAAACGTACAATGAACTTATGAACATGCGAAAATTGTCACGCCCAAAATTTATACAATTGTTTAAAATAAACAGGGAAGGTTGAGACATAAATAAAAATATTTGCCACGCATTCTGTCGAGAATTCGCCTCCGCTTTAACGTAGTTCCCGACAAGTCACAAAATCACAAATGTTTTAAGAATATATTATATTTAACCCAACAGTAACAATAAATCAATTAATAGAATAGTATAGAATGTTCTCCCTTAATTGTGTCCCAGTTAACGTAATGTTCCCAATATATATAGTTTCGTTGTTTGTCTATCGATTAGACTTTCTCACTCTCGCTCACAGTCACAGTGACAATTCTCTCTCGAAATCTCGCTCCTTGTTACTCACTCGTTTTCTAGCACACTGACTCAACTCGCACCCATTCTCCTCCAATCTCTCTCGACTTCGTGCGTCATGCATGTCAACTTATATTAATTAATAATCATCAGTCAGTCCCGACACACTCCCCATATATCTCAACTGAGATATATGCTCACCAACGGACTGACCTCGTCGTAGTTCCTTATGGTCTACCTATATAAACAACTGAAATGTTAGTTAATAAAATATTAAAATAAATGTCACCAATCTTCTTCTGCTTCTTGTTGTATACGGACGGTTGCTGCATCTGCCGTGTCACGTCTCGGTCTAGGGTTGAAGGTAGGGGCAGTCGGGTTCAAACTTACGGGTGGTTCTCTGTCGCAGGAGAGCTCGAGTGGGTAAAGGTGTTGTACCGCTCGTTCGAGTTGTCCATTCACTGTTTTTACCTTCGCTCCCCGTACAACGCCATCACGTCCTCGAATTAACCCTTCGACTATACCTAACTTCCACAAATTCCGATTCTTTTCTTCGCTTCCGATAATAACTGCATCCCCACGGTTGGGATGTGTCCCTTGTTCGCCCTTTTTCTGTCGATGTCGTTCTCTTAAGCCTCGCACATATTCTCGTGACCAACGTCTCCACATTAACTCTTTGCACTTTCGAAGAAACTTAGCTCTTTTACGAAGGTCAACGTCATCAAGATGGTGGGGTTGAACTTCGGGGATAACATTCGGGTTAATTTGTAACAGTTTGGTCGGGGTGAGCACAGGTTGTTCCACATCATCTTCTAAATAGCTTAACGGTCGATTGTTCAGCGCTACTTCGATATTCAGAATAACATCCATCAATTCTTCCCAGGTTAAGTTTCCGTTTCCAATACTCTTGTAAAAACTTCGCTTAAAGAGACCTATCAACCGTTCAAATTGTCCTCCCCACCATGGGGCCAGACTCAAATTAAATCTCCACTGGATTCCTTTGTCCGTAAGAAGTGCGTTGAATCTCTCGTCTTTCTGAGCTTGTTTCAACCATTTCTCCTCGGTTTTAAAGGTTGTCGCGTTGTCAGAATATATCACTTGTGGCCTCCCCCTTCTTGCAATTAATCTCTTTAAACTCGGCAGGAATTCGACGACTTCCAACGATTTCAGTAATTCGAGGTGCACCGCTTTTGTTAAGCTACACGCGTAGAGTACTAGTTACGATTTCTTTTCGGCTTTCGCTTTAGTTTTGTAACGAATAGGACCCACAAAGTCGACTCCTAATACTTGGAAAGGAGTTGTCCCTTGGGTTCGTGTTGGTGGTAATCTGCCCGGGGGCGGTCTATGATACGATTGTGCCCGGAATCTAGCACAACCATGACAATTGCTTCGTATCGGTTTCACAAGACGGCGTAATCTAGGCACCCAATAACGTTCTCGTACTTCTGCCATCGTCGCCGGTACTCCGCCATGGAGTGTAATGATATGGGCTTGCTCTACAACTTTCTTCGCGAAGACCGTATTCGTAGGTAAATATACTGGATAGTCGCCTTCGATCCGCCCTCGACACTCCATGATTCCACTTCGGTTATGTTGAAGATTCAGCTCAACTTTTGCACTGGAAAGTTCGGGGTTATCTTTGGTCTCCTCTTGCACACGCTTGATCCACCATAGCGTACGCTCTTCGATTTCGTGAGTCTTAATCGGCCCTGATTCACGTTTGTTGCTCTCGTTCCTGCAGTTTCGAACGAATCTATTCACCCAAGCACAAATTCGTAGGGTTTTTCGCAATGGATACTTTCCAAGGAGCTTGTCGAATACATTCTCAACTACTGGTTGATTTACTGCAACCATTACTCGGACTGAGGCCTTTTCTTCTTCTTTGGCTTCCGAGCTCACCACGGGGACCACTTTCGGTGGCCATCTTGCTTGGTCGCTAAGCCATTCGGGTCCATGTTGCCATAATACGTTGTTGGTAACATTTCCTCCGCGACTTCCCAGGTCGGCAGGATTCTCGTTTGTTGGAACATGGTGCCATTTAATTCGCTCATTCTCTGTAACTTCTTTAACGCTCTCACCCCCCGTCATAACATCGTCGACGTACAGGCCTTTCTTAATCTCTTCGTAGATTTCCTTACACTCGAGACGCTTCACTAAATTCTTTAGTCTTCGTTGGCTGCCTTTCTCGTTCGATGGGAGCTTTGGATGGTTCGATTTCCGCGGCAGGCTGGTTTCGTACCAGCCCTCTTCATTGCGAGTGAGGGTTTCTTTAAACTCGTCATAGACCGGTCGAGGGTCTTTCTCAGAGGTATTTTCAAGCCCGAGAACATCTAATCGACACACCCGCTCGACGTCAGCTTGTGAGGTCGTGGTTAGTAGCATGGTACTTTGGCCAAATTCGACCCCTGGACTCATTATGACCCACCCAAACTTCGTTTGTTCAGCTATTGGCTCCCCTTCCTTCCCCACGAGAGGCTTGGTTAACGTTCTGGTTCTGATTCGCGCATACTCTCCAATCCCTAGCACAAGATGTATGGCAAGGTCACTCTTCGTGTCACATTCGTCCATCTTGACTGAGTTCAAGTGTTTGTATAATTGTATTGTCCTACCAGTTTATCATAATTTGGATTGCTTGTTAAAAGTTCGCTTCTATCTACTTTATTTAATTTCGCTTTAATTTCATGCATACCGTCTAACGAACTAATTGTCACGTCATAAATTTCAATTTTCTTCATCTGCGACGTCATCAACATGTCTATGCGCTGGCTTTTTATCTCACTGGGTTTTGCTTCTAATGCGTTTATAAGTTTCGCAGACGCATATGAACTCCCGGCGCCAGAGTCAAAGAGCGCTCGACACATTACACCATTAACTTTGACAAGTACAACTGGAAATATTCCCTCAGCACATGCTCCATCAGTCATCACCTTTTTACCACCGGAGGAGTTTTTATCTCTGGCTTCATCTTGAACAGATCTGTCATCACGTTTATTATTGTACTGTTCGCAAATTGATGTATGATGACGTCTATAGCAGTGCCCGCAGGAGGTCTTACTATTGCAATCGGAGGCGCGATGAAATTTTGTGGCGCATTTAAAGCACAACCCTTTTTTCGCCAAAATTTGTTTGCGCTCATTCGGATTTGCAACTTTCTGACACCTTACAGCCTTATGGTTAGGATCTTCGCAATAAACGCAACCCGAAAGTTTTTACTCGTCTCGTTTTGCATGAAAACTTTTCCTTCGATTTTCTTCGTGTCGCAAATCACTACCGGTAGTACTGGGTTGCGCTTCACCCACTGGCGCAATGCCTCGGCCAGTTTACTAAAATCCCACGACTCCCATTCAGGATCAGTTCGAACTAAATCACCCCTAATCCCTGCCAATTTGTCTAATGTCATCGAAACTAGCCTGCGTAGCAGGCGTTTAGTGCGGGCGGAAGAAAAAAGGGCGTCGTTAAATAAACGCCTGCCCAAATGCCTATGATTAATTTGTTCTTCTCCGAAGAATCTTCGGAAAAGCTTCCCATTGGTTAATCTCGTTAACGGAAGTAATTACGTAACTCAAATGTCAACAATAATTTTGCTCGCGTTGACGCGTTTATAGGGCATAGTACAAAACATGGACTGGACTGGATAGTTGGACTGGACTGGACTGGACAGTTGGACTGGACTGGACAGTTGGACTGGACTGGACAGTTGGACTGGACTGGACAGTTGGACTGGACTGGACAGTTGGACTGGACATTTTCTCTATTCTTGACTTGCATGTCACCCGCCATGTCAGGTGGCATGGCGCAAAAGAATATTTTATCACAGAATAAATATACCGTGTCAAGTATTTTGTAATTTTATCAATGAACATTGTCTGGTGTGTACCAGGAGGAGATTGGTTGCAAGTCAAGAATATAACGTTTTACACCTGAATTACTTTTGATTTTCGGAAATTGAAATACTTTACCTTCGCCGATGACCTCACTTTATAACTGGAGTGAAATCTCTTAAAGCGAAAGAAACCCCAGTAAGTAGAATAGAATAGAATAGAATACAATACCAAACATAAACTACTTATCTGTCTTTGCTATGGGTATCCTGCTCGCATACGTATTAAATTTTGATGTTCCAATCTGCATGGCCATGGGCATAGAAAGATAGATAATTGGCGGGGGGGGGGGGCAGGAGCTCATATTCATATATTTGTGTGCTGCATCATTTACTTCTTTTGAATTTGATTGTTTTTACGGTCTGCGAACATGAATATTTATTATGTTTGGTATTCTATTCTATTCTACTTAGGGGCCGACCATTTAACTTTTGAGGGGGATGGGGGAGGGGGTGATTTTTAAAAAAAACATTTCCTTCAAGGCTATTCTGAACAAAAGAAAATGCCTGCACTAACAAACTGGGGGAAAAATATCCTGCCCCAGTATTTGGTGGGGGAAAAAATGTTGCAAAACAGCATGGTTGCAGGGATCGATTTGACCAGTCCCAGAAGATCAGCTGGTTTGATTTTCGGAGACTAGTGTAAGGTTAATTTCTTGTTGAAAAACTTCTGAAAATGCTGGAAATAGCTTATCTGAGCTTCACAAAATCCACAATTTTCTGGGGGGGGGGGGCATGCCCCCTCTACAGGCTTGCACCTTCGGTGCTCGACTCGGTTGTCTCAGAATCCTAGTTAATATTGGCCTGATCTGCTTCCCTATGGCGTATACTTATTAGTTAAACCATGCATATATATGCTGGTAGCTGCAGTGATACAGACTTACCGACTGGAACTTCTCCAGGTCCCCCGCTAAATATGTCCCCTCCAGTTACACATCCGTAAAGAGGCCCTGAACCAAATCTTATACCTCATAGCAATATGTATTATTAAAAGCAATGCATGAAGCTAGAAAACGCAACGTTAACTATTATTAATTAAAGAATCTAAATAGTCTGATAAGCTATTGAAAAACAATGCTACGAAAGAGAGTGGAAAAAAATATCGTACGTGGTGTTGGGATAGGGGAAAATAATCTTGCACATAACGATCCCATATCAAGAAAAAAATTCCGCCCTTCCAGCAGTAAATCTCCCCCCCCCCCTCCCCCCCTCAAAAGTTAAATGGTCGGCCCCTTACTGGGGTTTCTTGAGATTTCACTCCAGTTATAAAGTGAGGTCATCGGCGAAGGTAAAGTATTTCAATTTCCGAAAATCAAAAGTAATTCAGGTGCAAAACGTTATATTCTTGACTTGAAACCAATCTCCTCCTGGTACACACCAGACAATGTTCATTGATACAATCACAAAATAGACATGACATGGTATATTTACTCTGTGATAAAATATTCTTTTGTGCCATGCCACCTGACATGGCGGCTGACATGCAAGTCAAGAATAGAGAAAATGTAAAAATCAGTCCAGTCCAACTGTCCAGTCCAGTCCAACTGTCCAGTCCAGTCCAGTCCAACTGTCCAGTCCAACTGTCCAGTCCAACTGTCCAGTCCAGTCCAGTCCATGTTTTGTACTATGCCCGTTTATAGCCGCGTATCAAAAATATGCCGCCTGTTAATGCTTTCGAGGAAACTTTCTTATATTTCAAGTATTTAGCCTTCGAAATTCAGTTGAACCAGAACAGAGAAAGTATATTATTAATTTGCTACGTGGTGAAGACGCCGGTTATCGCGATTCGGAAAACTTTGAATACGGAAAAGTTTGATCTTTCAATTATACATTTTAAATATATCCTGAATATTTCGTTAATATAGTTGCCTTGTTATTTGTTCACTTTAAAGCATACTGATTCAAGACCAGATAGTTGAGGCTATATCACTTGGCATTGTAGCTATGAGGTTGAATGATGATTTTAAGAACAACATTTCAAAACATGCTCAACTGTTATATTTGCAAAACGGCAGAATACGTTAAACAACCGTGGTTCAGGAGTCAGTTTTAAAAGATAAAAGCTCTGCACGTTGTGACTGACTGTTGTCTAAAATAGCTTCAAAAACTCAATAATTCATGAGGAAGACACAAAGAAAAGTCATAAACGTGTTGTATCCTTGATATGTGATAGAGATTTCCCTTGATTTACAAAAATTTTAATGATTTTCTCTACATATACACACCGAATTTTTTGAAAGCTACTTCGCCAATGAACGTATACTAGATCGATCGTTTTTGAAGCAATTTAAAACATTCGCAGTGCGTGTTTTATCAGACCATCTTTATATCTGATAAAACACTCCTCCGCGTGCTTTAAATAGTACATAAAATCTCTGCAAATCTCCGTAGTTGCCGAGCAAAAAGCATGCATGCTGCTAAATATACATCTCGACTATGATTGGATAATGGATGAAGGTGCTAATTACAAAACGTCAATCATCCTTAAATTAATGGCGAAAACAAATTGTCATAGCCAGTTTGGGCAGGCGTTCCGATCCCTCTGTACCCGCCCGTCAGCTAAACGCCTGCTACGCAGGCTACATCGAAAGATTTCCGTTGATTTGGTCAAGTTTTTTGAGAGTCTCTAGTGCTCTCACGCAATACGTTAATTTCTCGCTGAATTCGGCAATTCTTCGGGCGTTACTATTCGGAATTTGGGGTAAATCGAGAATTTCCTTTACGTAACATTTCACTATCTCAGATTCCTTCCCATATTTATCTTGAAGGATTGCTTTGGCTCTGTTATAGCCCTCGGGGGAAAGGGGAAGGGATTCCACACATATTTTGACTTTTGGACTCAACAGTTCTAACAAATACGTGAACATTGTTATAGGCGCAATAGAACTTTTGTCGATACCTTCGGTAAACTGCCCCCAGAACCGGGGCCAGTCCATATACGAGCCTTCAAACTTTGAGATTACCAGTTTAGGCAATTTTGCGCTTGGACTAGAAAATTCCTGTGTTTCCGGTTTTGATTTGGCGCTGTTCACAAGCTCGGATTGCATGCGTAATTTTTCTTCGTGCAATTTTAATTCATTCTTAAACAGCTCCTCTTGGGCTACAGCCTTAGTTTGGCGTTCATTTTCCGCCAGCCAATCACTAAAACGTGCAATTTGAAAATCAGCTTCTTCAAATTTCGACTCAATATTGTCATTTCAATTAGCGATTTCATCCATGTTTGTTTTACTCGCAATTTTCTGTTCTTCAACCAAACGTTTGCATTGGTTAGATGAACTGTTCACTGATTGTAGCGTTTCGAGGTGCCGTTTAATAGTTTCACGCTTACAGCTTACCTGTTGCCAAGTTTTTTCTGACCTTTGTACCGCTAAGTTCAGCTGCGTCAATTTAGTCTCTAGTTCCATTTCTTTCGGATTCATCTCCATTTTTTCCGCCGTCTCCGTCTCTGG